GTTACCGTGTCATGTACAAATGGCCTGGTAAATCAGTTTTCCATTTGTGGTGTTTTTCAAAAACAAAGACAAGCTCAGAAAAATGAATGAATGAATGAATGAATGAATGAATGAATGAATGAATGGTGGAAGATCCTCTTAGGATAAGCAGTGCTTACTCTTGCACTTTTTAAAAAAGTATTTTGTGACTGAAAAATGTACCTTCTCCATTAATTAAAAAGCATTATCATCTCATTAGAAAATATTGCTTATTTATCCCCCTGGTTTTAATTGATATGGACGCACATTTACTTAAATATTTTCAGGTAAAATAATCAGGTAACAGATGTTACGGCAGGATGTAAGCTGACTGTACCAGAAGAGACAGAAAAATCATCTGACCAGAGATAGATTATACCTGTGTTTTTTAGATTCATTCAGATGCTCTGATGCAGTAATTCCGCAGAGATGAAAAGGGCTCCAATGCATACCTCCATATCTTCTACTTGTAAAAGCTTTCCTATTTAATCCACTACTTACAGAGTGACTAACTCTCTAAAATCAAAGTATCAATTTATCTTCCACTATACAGGTAGTCTTCGCTTAATGACAGTTTTATTAGCAACCATTCAAAGTTATGATGGCGCTAAAAAAGTGACTTACGACCAGTGCCCAAAGTTACGACCATCACAGTGCCCCCGTGGTCACGTGATTGTGATCCAGGCACTTGGCAACCAGCTCAAACTTACAACAGTTGCAGTGTCCCAGGGTCATGTGATCCACCATTTGTGACCTTCCCAGCTGGCTTCCAGCAAGCAAAATCAATGGGGAATCACATGATTCACTTAACGACCACGTGATTCACTTAACCATGGTGAGTCACCTAATGACCATGCAAAAAAGGTCATAAATTCAGATCCAGTCACATGATTATTTGCTTAATGACTGCATTGCTTAGCGACCTAAATTCCAGTCCCAATTGGGGTCATTAAGCAAAGACTACCTGTAGGTGTTTAATAATACACATGATCATGACCCAGCTGTTCTGAGGAAGTCATTTTGTTATTATCTAGTATATATTCAAAATCTCCACTATCTGAATTATGACCTCATAAGTTTTGTCCACACCATATACCAAAATACATTTAGGCTCTCCCCCTCTGTAGCCATTTCAGTTTTTACCCCCTCACAGCCACAAATGAATGCTATGAATCTGAAAAATTTAGAGGGTTTAGACAACTAAAATGCTTTAATGTTTGAGGCAACTGCATTATTGGTCAATACTGACTATAATAATATTAAATATATTGCTATTCAAATAACTGAAAATGGAGCAAGAGTTAATTTAGAGGGTTTTAATTGAATAGTTCTCCCCAAAAGGTGTCCTTTTTAAAGATGTCTGAATGGAATGCAAAAGAAAGGTTTAATTATTCGCCTGTTAGTTCCCACCGTTCAGATGTGACTCTAATTCTCTCTTCACTCCGAGAATGGAATTTATCATCTTTTTCATTGAAATACATTTCAACACACAACTCTTCAAAATCATGAAGCTTCTTTTGATCTTCTTCTGTTAGAAATAGTTCTACAGAACAGAAAAGATGGTTGGTTTTAGAAATTCTACCAATGGTCTGTCATACTAAAGAAGACAAGGAAAAATGCAGGTATCAGTGCAAAAGGAAATGTTGCTATTTCTCTAGGACCTTTGGAGTCTATAGATTCCAAGATGAGATGAGATGAGATGAATCCAGTATTATACAGGCACATTAAAAAGGAAAAGGAGAAACTTCCCTCAATAAACATAACAGGAAGAGGATGTCAGACTCTTGATATTCAAATGGCACCCCGCTACTTACAAAAACAAAATTTGTTTCTTGATTCTTCTTTAAGATCATCACAGATATATTGCTTCCCTCTTTCTACAGTCAGCAAGAACATTTTTTTCACATATATATTATTGTGTGTGATTTTTAACAAAATCTCCATCCCCAAAGGAAAAAAAAAGATGGTGAGAATAAGCAGTAATCCCATGTTTAAGCTGTATTGATTACTGGCTTGCCCACACATATTCCAAAGGGACCTGCTGAAGGCAATATCCAAGTGTGGATTGGGAGGCTGGGACAGAATTCCTGTGTAATACAGGATCTTCTTCAAGGAGGCATACTGCCAGTGCATAAGCAACTGGGGAATGTACCCCACAATAACTTTGAGTTCACAGATCAGAAGTCACATCTGTCATCCTCCAGACAGCACAAACTGTGTCTGGCCCAATGCATCTTTGAAATCAACACCCCCCTGGCTCTCGATGGCCCTATTCTCACCAAGGAGACCAACTACTTTAGACTGTAAATAAAACTCACCTGATTTAATTAATAAACATCCTCTAATAAAAAGCTGCCACTAAAAGGGCTAGCTGAGGGATCTTCTCCTTGCCATTTTAGTGTTCTACATTGATGGATTTTTCTTCATAGGAAAATATTCCCATGTGACCAGTTTCTGATGTAGTAAACGAAACAACTAACTAATTCGCAACTTAAAGAAGTTTCATGTGCTGTTTTAAGGAACTTGCTTTGACTTTTTGAGGGGATTAGGAGGAACTCCCTCCCCCTTTCAGTTCTTTACAGATGTCACTTGCAATGGTGTATTTTTTTAAAAAATGTTTAGGATGCTGTTTGAGGATACACCTCAAAAGCACTCAGTCTGAGTCAAAGGAAGCAGCGGTTTAAGTATTTTAATTCCCCAAACTAGCTGAAACACTTGCTCTTCCAACTCCCATTCACTGGAGTGAGTCTTTCAAGTGTCTTTTAAAGATATGCAGCTACATTTTTAATGTAAAGAAAAAATAACACTGTATGTTCTGTAGGTACTTACTTGGTCCATCTGAAGTTTTATCTTTCTTTCTTCGTTTGCATATGCAGTAGCACAAAGAAGCCACATGACTAAGAATTATAAGGGGAGGAGGTAGGATGGGTTTCTCATGATAGGCCATAACAAAATGATAACGCTGATATTTCCACACAATATTCGAAATAGCTTTCACTTGTAAATACACATTGCTAAAAAAAAAAGAACAAAAAGAGATAAGTGTTTTAGTACAAAAAATATCCTACAAACTCATTAACAGTTATCTTGGCTTCCAATCTATATGACACTTTCTTACGTTTCCTTTTCTTCCCTCCCCTCCTTCATCCCCCCTTTTTTCCTTTCTGTTTTTCTTGATTTTTCTGTATTTTAACTTTTGTGGAAAACTTAATAAAAATTTTAAAAAAAAGATAACGGAAACAGTCCTTCAAAATCTGTAGCTACAAGACTTCTACTATGGTTGTAGAATCACCAAGTTAATTTCTAAACATCAGTTTAATAATCAAATTGTCATGTGAAGTTCATACATACTTGAAAAAGGCGATGAGAAGGTTGACCATAATGATGTACTGCACAAAAAGGTATACTGACTGAAGAAACGGTGTTAGCCATGATCCTGTCACACAGAGCTGCGCAAATTCCGAAGCATTTGCACATACTATGCAGTTTAAAAAGAATAAAAAATATTGATAAGATACCGCAGATACAAATGCGATACAAAGTCTGTTACAACATTAATCTGTTTTTTTAAATCAGAAATTTTGAAATATTTCATTTAAAAATATCCTTCGTTAAACATGTCAAGGTTTATACAATCCCTTAAAATATTACTATCAAATGTCAGATCAAAGCTGTGTTTTTCTTATAAATAAACAAATGAAATCATAATTACCTACCATCAATTTCATATGCATACACTTCACCGAATATCATCCAGTAAGGCTGAAATACAATATCTTTTGCTAGAACCCATGACGGTTCTTCATCAGGATAAAGTATTGCCTTCCTAGGTACTCCAAAACTGAGTAGGACCAGTGCCATTATCACTACAATATAAAACATGTTCGCCACCTGTTAAAACAGAGCAAGAGTCAAGGGAATTGAAATAATTATTAGAAGCTACAACAGCCTTTCTTGACTCGGGAATGTTCAGGATATGGACTTCAATTCCCAGCTAGTATAGCCATTGCCAGGAATTCTAAGCATGAAGTCTACACATCTGGAGGATACAAAGATTAGGGGAAGACTATCTTAGGGAAATACAGTGGTACCTCGGTTCACAAACGCTTCTGCTTTGCGCTTTG